ACAAAACTACATCTTAGTACACCAGAATGTGTACTTGGATTTGTCTGACACTGGAAGCCAAACTCTAACCCCAGTGACTGTAATTCTCAAAACAAGATCTCTATACTTCAGCTACACATAGGAATGTATTAGAAATGCACATTCCCAGACACCACTCCACACTCCACATTAGCTCTCTGGCAAGAGGTTCTAGCAATCTGTGTTTAACAGGCTTTCCAAGGAGACCTGATAGATCCTCAAGTGTCCAATTGGGAAACAAGATGCCAGGCTTCTGGCCAACCTGAATCCCTAGGAGCAATACTCACAGAGTCTCCCCACTTATTTGGCTTTAGAGGGGAAGAGAAAAAGCATCCGGTGATTCTTCACTCTCTTCCTCTCCCAACTTTTTTATAGATTGGGATGGGGGGAAAGTGACCAGTTGCAGAGTTAATTAAATACAGTGTGAGTTACCTTTGGGTTAGGGTGTCAGACCCCAACCATTGCTCTTTAGGATATGGGAAATTTAGCTTCTCTATAGTTTCAGTTTGGGGCCATTGTCACCAATTTTGGGAAACAGAAAATATCCTGCATCAAAGTACTGTTATGGTGGAGTTAGTAATGGATGCAAGTAAAAGGCTGATCTCAGAGAAAAACCCCTGCCCTATCATGAAAAGCAGTCTGCTTCATCCTGAACCCATAGAACCCTTGGGAGATTCAACCCCAGGCCCAGGAACTCCAGGCTCCTGACACTCAGAACTCTAATGGTCCTACCCCAGACAAATGAACTGGAGTTCTATTGGAGGTCCCAACAGAACATAACACATCTTCCCAGGACCAGGCAGGATCCCTGGGGACCTACTCACCTCCACTCCGAAGGTATGTACAGCCGGTCCTGTAAATCCCCATGGCTAATTTCCATTATACTACAACCCTTTGCAGTGTTGGCACATTGGAGAGAGGCGAGGCTTTCAGAGGACAGTGTTTAGAGATGTGACGTGGAGGCTCCAATCTTCCCATTCCTCTCATCCTCCTTACCACCCAGTGTTTATACCACCTCCCTGCTTAACGAGAATTTCCTGCAGTGACACTCTAGAGACCCCAGGGAGGAGCCATGTGGGGCTGAGCTGACCTATGAAGTTTTGCTATAACTCCTTTGAACATTCACCTCTTCAAAGTCCTTGCATAGGTATATGAAGTGGGCCTGTGGAGACTCTCCCTGGCCTCTGCAAAATCTAGAAATAAGAGCAAGACTGCTGGCTTGAGAAAGCCAAACAAGTTAGGACACTCTGTGAGTGTTGCTCCTAGGGATTCAGGTTGGCCACAACCACAGCATCTTGTTTCCCAACTGGACACCAACAAGGCAGCAGGCTTGCTGATCAGCCTTTTCTATCTCTTGAAGCAAGGAAAGAGAGAGGGAGAGAGACACGCAGAGCCAAGAGAGGAGCTATTTGGATGGCAAGGATGTGTTTGGTCTCCCAAAGGAGACCAGGCATAGCCATACTTTCTGTATAAAAACAAAGACTAAGTCCCTAGAACAATATGCAGGGCATACTGTTGGGAGGAAGTATGGAAGAGGTCAAGCCAGAAGACTGCCCACATCAAGGCCCAGAACAACTGGGGCTGCACCCCAGGACCTCACATATGCCCCAACAGGACCAGCACATGGGCACCTGACACAGGCTAAAAAAAAAAAAAAATAAATAAAATAAAAGGCAGTGAGAATCTGAGAAGTGCTACAATGAGCAGAGAGGTTTTCCTTTCTTTCTTCCTGACCCATCACCAGAAGAGCCAAGTTGTGGTAAAGGAGAGGCAGAATTGACTCAGAGCCTGATCATAGCTCTGCTGTTCTCTTCCTAGCAATCATGGAACCAGCGCAAGACGGGGCCAAGGCAGGGAGGGCCGAGAAAGATCAAAACCAAATTGGAAGTTGAAGTTTTGTAATGGGTTGGAACTGAGCTTTGTAAGTAAGTGAAGTGACCAGGAAATTATGCGAACAGCCTGGGTTGTCATGAAGGCATCTGCTGCACAGTAGAAGGATAATTCAACAGGGCAGAGGTGAAAGTAACGATTGCAGAAGAAATCAATTTCACCCAGGGCTTTGAAATTCCTCACTCAACTGGGTGCTGACTACTCTTCACTGGAGTTACTTGGGCCTCCCCTTCCTTCTCCAAGTTTTTCACACTATGAGGAGCAGAATTCCTACGGGGGCTCAGAGATCTAAGAGGTGGTTTCCAGGCAGGAGACAGAAATCTCACAGGAGGGGAGGGGTGAATTCACCTTGAACTTTTTGCTGAGAATGGGGAAATAATATTTATCATCAAAGTAATAGAGCTGCCAGAAATCACGTGCATAAAATGCACCATGTAAACTGGGACCGGCAAACCCCTTTATTCTTACACAATGTAAGAACTGCAAATTTTAAATCAAGATAGAAAAGAAAACACAAAGACGATCCATGGCGTAATAGTCACAGGGTTGTTCACGAAATACTTCTGAATCTATTTCTGGGCACTCGTCAGCTGCCGTGAAGTTAGATGGGCCCATGTGATTTGCTTTAGTCACTGAAATATGAGTAACATGACATATGTCACTTCCGGATGGAAACTAGGTTGCAACTGACCATGTTTCCTTTTTCTGCCTCCGCATTGTGGAGGTTGAAACCTCCCTGAGTGAGGAAAACATAGAGAAGTGCCCAGCTGACACACAGTGGCTAGGTTGTAGCTTTGTGTGTCAAGTCACAGAAGACGGTGTATATGTTACTGCAGTTTATCCTGGTATTGACTATTAATAATTTGGTAATCGGCCGTCATCTTGCAAAAAGGCCCCCTACAGACATGCAGCGTACCCTTCTACCATCAAGCACATTGATTATCAGAGTGACCTTGGGCTTGAAGACAGGCCTGGTCTGTCACATACAGGATCACTGAGCTTGAGCTAGTCAGCACTTAGGTGAATAGGTGCGCACCCTATTAAGATAAAAGGTAGCTCAGAGCAGGAAAGGGTGCTGAGGTTACACTGATGAGGCGTCACTTGGGGGTGGCATAGAGTAGAAGGAATGGCTAGAGTGCTCCACCCAGATTTGACAAAAAAGACAAGACACTTAGGCCACATACCTCGCATGGGCACTGATTAGGAATGGTCAGGCCAGTAACTGAGGTCATGCCCTTCTCCTTATCGATTCATGGAATTGCACAAAGGGTAACAGTCATCAAGGCCCTAGGGATGCAGGCTTGATTTGGTAGCATAGCATGAAAACATCAAGTTTGCCTGTCCCCACCTCTACAGCAGGAAAAAGCCAAATGCCACAGACTATAAAGTCAGGGTGCCTGGGAAGGTCTTCAGCCTCCTTGGTGAGTAGCCCTGTGGTCTCGCAGGTCATTCAGGAACTTGGGGAAACGTGGCCAGATGCCTGGCCTTGCCATCTCTATTTCTCTGCTTTTGTTTCTCTATAAAAAAGTGGATACTAGCAGCTTCCCACCCCACTTAGATCCAGTTGGAAACTGATCTAGGGTTTCTCTTCTGTCAGCATCACAAGGGCCCTGAAGTCATCTGGCCCCAGAATCAGTCACCTCTCAACATCCCCACTGAAAATGTCCCCAGTCTTCCCTTCCCCGCAGAGGTAGTGTAGCTTACAGTAAGGAAGAAACAGAGTGGATCTGTCTTGTGCTTTTCCCCTGACTCTTAGTCCTGCTGTCTTGGAGAAAGGCCAACCTAAATCTCTCAGGGTGGTCTTGTAGGAGAAATTGCCTTCCTTATTTCTTACTCCCCAGTCACGGAAGCCTGGGATGATGGGCCTCTGCAAAGAAGTGGCTTTGAAGCCCAGGGATACAGTTTAGTGGTGCCACACCTGCCTGGCAAGTGCAAGGTCCTGGGTTCAATTCCCAATACATAAAAATAAATAAATAAAGTGGCTTTAATAAGGCCCTTAACCTCTTAGAGTACAGCTACTCTCCCTGCTGATGCAGCCCCAAGTCCGAGCTGCACAAGACAGAGAAGGTGCTACTCTGGCCCCTCACAGAGAGCAGTGTATGGGCAGAGCCCCCAGGCTGGGTCAGAATATCTGAGGGTGACTCAGGCTCTGCTTTTCCTACATGGAGGGTCCCTAGCAAGTCACTGAACTCCCAGGTCTCAATCCACACACAGGAAATGGGGACCAGGACTCCTGAGACCCTGGGTTGTGATATTACATATGACCTGACACTTATGCAGTATGCAGCGAGGTTATGACCAGCACTGAGAGAGGAGAGCCTTTGTGAACACATGCAGGGCTTAGACCCTTTCCCTGGAGTGGTCAACCAGAGAAAAGACTGAAGAGTTTTGCAAAGGGAGGACAAAGGTCCAGAGTATGGCAGAAGGAATCTGGAAAAGGTCTGCAAGTGGCAGTCATTTCCAGGGACAGCTGTGTTTGGAAAAAGGGCAAGAGGAAACAATGCCAATCACACAGAAGAAAATCTAGGTCCCCCAGTCCTTCTGTTGGTCCTATCTTGAAGTCCTCCACTCTGCAAATCAGACCAGTGGCCTCAGCCTGAACACGTATGCCCAAGAACTAAGGTACAGACTGCACAAACCCCACTGAGGTTCCCACCTGCAGCCCCTGCTAGGGGTCTTGTCGTTCGGACGACAACCAAAGGGCCCACTCTCACCGGCCTGAAGCTGTGGAGTAGGCTGAGCCCTAGTACTGCCCCCAAAGCTTCTGCCAGCAGCATTCCACATAGTCCAGTGCTGGGGAGCAGGAGGAGATGTCCCAGAGGACAGCTGCATGGGTGGGGGTTAGAGAAGCATTACAGAGAACACACGCAGGCCCCCTAGCACCACAAGGATCTCCTCTGGCACATCTTTGCACAAAGCACACACCACCTGGTGGCCACTCGGGGCTCCCTGCTGGTGCCTTATTAACAGCAATCTGGACTTTGCAGGATCTCTGACAGCATCCAGGCCTGGGAAGCAATGAAACCTTCTAGGAAATGAAGCCTTCTATAGAAGCCACACAAAGAAAGAGGTAACAGCTGCCAAGGTTTACCCATCTTTATTTCTTATAAAACAAGCTACAAATAGTATCCTTCTCTCCCTCCCTCCTTCCCAAAGGAAAAACCACACAACACAGCCCACACACATATGTGAGGGAGAAGATGGCTGGGGAAGATGTGAAATCCTCCAAGGAAGTTATTTCTGTGTGTACACGCTTCCTCCAGGCCAGAAAGTGGGGCTGGGGTCTCCTGCAAAGTCCATCCAGCTCCAGCATGTGGCATTTTCTGGTGGAGGATAATGGGAGAGGGCTTCCATTCTACCTCAGCATGTCATGTGGGTCCACCAGTCATCTTCAATTCAACCTCTGTGACTTTCTCCGGGACAGCAGGAACCTTCTCTAACCTGAGACTCCAGCAGGTCAAGTCCTGAGAAGGCCCTCCCACTAGGGCAATGCTTATGGGGCCAATACCCCCAGACCCAAACTGGAATCCTACTTGCCAAAGGTAGATGGACATATGGGGATACTGGAGCGGAATACAAGCTGAGGCTAGATTGCCACAAGTAACTGGCAAGGGCACCAGTCCTGGGCTGACCGACTTCCCTCACTGTCACCATGGCTGCCCACAGAAAGAGGCACTTAGTGTCCTCTGAGGGCCATCTGGATGAGCATGTCACCTGAGCAGAGGAAGATGCACATCTTTCCCAAAAGCTGGGCAGCCCACACTGAAATGTCAGTAATTCCCTGTGGAAAGCTAGGCCTGGATTTCCCCAGAGATAAGTCATAATTCCTGTCCTTCTGCGAGGGTAGAAATAGAAAATCCAAGATCAGTTTTACTTCTGGAATTGGGCTTTAGGTCTGAAAGTCCATAAGAAAAGTTGAAGGAACAAGAGAAACCTGGTATTGGGCTTTAAAATAATGATACAACTGCTGAGTTACCAACAAGGTGACTGACTCCACTCCTCCCTCAGGCTCGTGGTGGCTACTGAATACAGGAGTGGGAGATGGAGAAGAGGAAGTAAAAACACAGTCTACCCCAGTTCTGAGATAGTGACACTTAGGGAATCTCACTGATAGCTTGCAGAGGGCTAGCACTTTTCTCTTTGGGCCAGGCTTTCTGTCTTCCATGTGCTGCCTAGATTATCAAATTGACTGAAGGGCCCCCATGGTGTGTCTTTCTTCTCTGCCTCCCTTCTCATACCCTGTAGATGCCAAACATGGATGAAAATGTTTAAACTGATCTTATGGAAATCCTTTGAGGATAATGGTCTCATAAGTCACTAAGATACTGGGGTACCCACCAGCCCCGGGCCCCTTGGGGGGGTCTTGATAGGAGGAACCCCAGAGCCATTTGAAAACTGGAGCCTATCTATGATCTGGACTCTGCTTTTCTCCAGGGGCAATGTCCAACTCTCATCAACCCAACTTCTTTGAAGGCCAAGGCCCCAAATGACTTGCTATCTGTGAAAGCCAGTGTTCTGGGGCAGTGCTCTCCTCCACTGGAGGAGAGCCAGTGGAGTCTGCAATGCAGACACAGGGTTCCCACTGATACACACACAGAGGTCGGCCTCCAGGTGGTGTGCAGGTAGGCTGGATGGAGAAAAGGTTCTAGAAAGCTGGAACATGAGTCCAGAGTGCTCACAACCCACAGCAGGGAGAGGGAGGGGAGAGAACAAATAGCAATGCAAACACCTGTACAAAAGAACTATACAATTTACATATATATTTATATACAGTATATAAATCTCTTTCTTCTCAACCCCACCAATACCCCTCCCCCAAAATATCCTAAAAGTTGTCAGTAGCAGATCCAAAAACTTACAATATGAGAGAGAACAAAGTCTTTCTTCCTTTTCCTTTTCCTGCTGTGGCATTAGACACTGGTGTTTAAAAGTGAAACCAGAAACAAAACACACAAAGGAGAGTTATTAAAAGTGCAAACTCGGTGGGCACCACTTATGTTACACGGGATGTGGCTGAGTCATGGGCAGCACGGAAGGCTGGTGTCTGACGGTCCATCCTGTCTCCTTGGACTTTCCAAGGATTTTCTGCTCCTTAGACGAGACGTCCTACTGAGAGAAGGAGAGTGAAAAGGGAAGAAAGGTATAACTAAGAAGAGTTGGGCATATGACAAATCCAGCCACACAAATTAGTTCCCCTCAAAGAGCAGCCTTTTCATCCTGCTGTTAGATATGGGCCAGGTGGGCAGTTTGCATAGACTTGCAGGTAAGTGCACTTTACCAGTCCACCCTTTACCATGCTGAGCAGCTCAGTTGCCCCTGGAGATAGTTTGGCCCTCCAGAGACCTAGGCTTTGCCCAGCAAGCACAGGGTGAGGAGTGCTCTGCATAAGTCACTTTACTCCCAGATGCCAGCCTTTCAGCCTGGGCTGGGGAGGAAATGGCACATACTCCTTGACAGGCACGGATGGCAGAGTCCCTTAGCATGAACTCCATCTTTTTCTTGTGTCCTCAGCAAAGCACACTGAAAATGGACATCTAAGTAACATGGACAGTTGCGTCACCCATGATGCACTGCCGAAACTCCATCAGGGGATTCACAGGGGAAAGAGGGGAGCCCAGAAAGAAGGTAACTTACTGAATGGGTTTGTGCCTGCTCGTTTTCCCTGGGGGAAGCTGCCAAGGCTACCACCTGCAATAAATAGGAACACATGACACTTGACCGGCCCTGACCCAAGGAATAGGTAAAGGTTCTCCTATATTTGGGTTCCCACCCGTTCTAGCCCCCAGAATGAAGGGGGGACTTGGGAAGGAGCCAGAAGCTGTGAAGCCATGCTTCCTACTCTGGATGTCTGTGGCCTCCTTCTGCCTGGGAGAACCCTTTGCCAACAGCTGGCCCCTCTAAATAAAACCCATTTTCCATGCAGCCAGGTCCCTGCTAGGATGGCTCTTTCAAATCCCCACAGATACTAGCCAAGAAGGGCTCTGGTGCTGATGAGCATTTGCATAACTTCTTGGTCTTGGCTTTCTGAATGATGGAATGTCAGAGATAGGAGGAATCTCACCCTTCATAGACAAGGAGGCACAGGCTCAGAGCAGCTGAGTGACTAACAGGAGGCTCAAGGCACACTCCTCCCCACAGTGGGTGGGGCACTTCTGAAGAATGACCATGCTGGCTCCTGCGGACCCTGGTTTTCTAAAGGAGGGCTGGACTGGGGAGCACTGTATTTGAGCTGGGCCACCTCCTTGAGCCCCTCTGGGTTGCTCCAGAGGATGGGGATTAGGGCCACAGCTGCACGGCTTCCCTTCTGCTCCTTTCACAGGATTATTCTGAGGATCAAGTGAATTCATGGAGGAAAAGGGGCTATGAGAAGGCACAGTGCTGTGGAATCCAAGCCCATCCACGGCCATGTGACTTCACAACTAGCATCCCCCACATTCCTTAGGGCCAGAGAGAGACGGAACACGAGGTGAACACTGGGTAGATATTGAAATATCCAATTTTGCAGATGAGGATGTGAACTCAAAGAGAGGGACAGGCCCAAAGCAGGCAGTCGGGAAGGGCCAGACCCAGGCTTCCCAACCTGAAATCCCATCCTTCCTCTGCTCCACCCACAGCTGCTCCTTTCAGGGGTAAATAGAAAGAGCTCCACATAAGGAGAGGAGGCCAACAGCAGTCCTGCCCATCCAGCTGAGACTCAGGAAACAAATGAGTAGCCCAGAGCAGGAAACAGGGATGTTGCTGGATCCTCAGGGCATCCCCATAGGACAGTGATAAACTGATCCCCATCTTATGATGATAAAACTGAGGCTATGAAATGCTTTGAGTAGCTTTCCCAGGATGGCATAGCTTGCATGTGTGGAAGCAAATTCAGACCTTGCTCTCAGCTTCCAGCACCACACTCTGGACCTTCAAGAGAGGGCAGGGGGAGAAAAAGGCTGAGCCCCGGGGCAGGCAGTATCTCAACGGAAAGCAAAAGTTGGCATTTCAGAAACTTAGAGGCACTAGTCCCCTCCGCCTGCCTCACCGGCTTTATCATCCTGATAAAGGTGCATTATAAACTGGGAAATGCCAGTCAAGACAGAGCTCAGCTCAGGAGATGTCTGGCTTTTCATTCTGGGCAGAAATTGACTTCTCTATTGAGAGGTCTCGCTGGTAAAAACAGTTGTGTGCACATGGAATTTCCAAAATGTTGGTTCATCGGGTGTAAAGCTGTCCTCATGCCCCAGCTCCTCATCTTCCTCCAGCCCCCTTGGGCCCCCACCTAGCTCGCAAGCCCCTCTAGGCCCACCAGAGGGCACCATGTGACACCAGATGACCCACGCATGGGCTCCCCTCCCTGGAGTAGCTGCATGCTATGGAGCCGTGTGGCTTTTCTGCTGTGCCCCCAAAGCAGAGAGACCGAGAGAGGCTGCCCAGGGGCAGGCTATTCTACTGCTACTAATTTCTCCTGGGAGCTCACTAGCACTAGGTACTGGGCTGAGTTCTTCACATGCATCATCTTGTCAGGCTCACACCAGGTCTACGAGCTGGGTACTGTTACCTCCATTTTGCAGGTGAGGAAACAGGCTCAGAGAATCCAGGTAACTTGTCAAGGATTACAAGGCTAGGAAGTGGCAGAGCTGGGAGAAGAGCTCTCACCCGAAGCCCCATCTCTTTCCAAGCCTCTGCCTCTGCTCTGCAGAGTGAGCACAGATCCCAAGTGTGTCTGACCTTGACGTTGCTACATGCAGCAGCCCCGCCTCACCCATTTAGTCACCTGACAAGGATTTCCTGAGCTGCTACTAGCTGCCGCGTGCTAGATGTTAAAGAGTTGAGTACATAGCATCCAGGGCTTCAAGGAGGAATTAGGAAAGTAAATTTCAATACAGTGTGGTAAGTGCTGTTGAAAGACGCAATAACCATACGAAAAGTCGCATTATTGAGCCTCGACTGAGTCCTCTCATTGTCTCATTGATAAATATGAGACAATGTTAAACGCTATCCCTCACATGGCATCACTACGATAAAGGCTCTCATTGTCTCATTTAGTCAGCACAATAGCCCTGTGAGGAAGACATTATCATTGCTCCCATTTTACAGACGAAGAAGCCGAACACAGAACAGCTGAGCGATGCACATACAGTGACAGAGCTGGTCTGTGGCAGAGGTGGGGCTGGAGCCAGCACGTTGCACTGTGTGTGGGAGACTCGGAGACCCGCGGAAGCCAGCGAGACACCCTCATTAGCCAGACCGCTCAGCCGGGGCCATGTGCCAGTCAGCCTGAGAACCATAGCAGAACCCAGCTTCGTGCAGAGGGGTAGTTGCCAAGACTGGGCTCCCATGGTGACACGTTCACCTCCACCCTCCATGGGTGGGTTTACACTGACAGCCGAGGAGCAAGGACAAGCCCTTCTGTCTCTTAGGCTAACTCTCCTAAGTAATCTCAACTTTTCCAAAGCTTCTATTTCCCATAAGTCAGCATCAGCCAAATTGGCATCTTCAGCCCAGACCTCCCCCTGCTCTACAGCCCTACGCAGCCCACAGGTGCTTCTAGCCTGACCTGTCCAAACCACCCTCATTTCCTCTCCCATCCCTCGTGCATGTCTGCTCTTCCTCCCACGCTGCTTATCTCAGTGAATGTCCCGCCCCAACTCATCCACTTCCCCTCATCCCCCGCATTTCCATAACTTGTTCCTCTATCACTTCATGCCTGGACTATACTACATCTGTTCTTGGGCAACTCTGCCTTGCACATTTCCAAGCCGTTTCCCATGCTACATCCAGAAGAGTTTTCTAAAGCAAAACCGATCCTCTCATTTCTCCAACTGAACCCCTCCAACGACTTTGCACTGCACTTATAAAGCCTTTCAGCTGCATTAAAAGGTTCTTCAACCTCTTTCTGCCTTTTGTCACAACTCCCTACTACTGATATGGTCTAGTGACGGAGTTCCAGCCAGTGAAAGGTGAGAAGTAATGTGTGTGTCCCTTCTGGGATTGTCCCATGAAACTACCTCGCGTGCTGCTCTACATTAATTTCACCTGGTTGACTGGGGATAGAGATGACCCTGAGGTGACCTTGGAGGTCACATGATAAAGATGGCCGACTCACTCTCAGCCTACATCCCAGACTGGGTCCGCAGAGCAATCCCTAGTCCTGCTCCTCACCCCTCTGCCTCCTTCCACCACAACCTGCAACCATATTTCATTGTTCCATGGGCAACACAAACATCTTCCACTGTGTTGAGCCCCGAGTAGAGGCCTTCCTATTCGTTAGTGTTGCCTACCCTAGCAAACACCGCACATCTTCACAGCACTTATCGCAACATATGTGGATGCTTATCTAATATCTGTCTCCTCAGTGGGTTATGTAAGGACAAGGGCTTTCTCAGTCATTTCCACCACCGTAGCAGGCATCTAGCATAAAGTCTCCAAGGAACTTGCTGTTGAATACCAAGTACCTGGCATCACATTTCCTGGGACAGCCGCTAGTCTCTGTGTCTTGGTGGAGAAGGAGCACAGGGGAGAGTACTCACCTTCCTTGCTGACACCCAGGCAGCCCTTCAGCTCAGGCAGTGAGATGACCTTGTCCTTATTCAGGTCACAGTAGTCAGTGAAACGTCGGGCGCATTTCTTGGGCTTGGCTTTCTTTTTTACATAGCGCTTGAAGGGTTTCATCTCCCGCTTGTTGATGTCATTGCTGCTGTTGCTGTCCAGCTGGCTGAAGTACCAGTGCACCACACGCTCCTCCAGGGTGTGGCTGGGGTCTGGCTCTGAGAACCTGCATGGCGGAAGACACCCCCAACCCAGAGAACACCACTCAGGATCTTGCAGGAGCCAACGGCCCCACTGTGACTCTGAGGAGTGGACAATGTCAAGGTGCTCGCTGTGGTTGGAATGTGTTTTGTCCCCACCGAAACTCAGGTTGAAACTGGTTGTCAGTGTAGCTGTACTGGGAGGTGAAGAAAGGACTTTCAGAGGGATCATTGCCTTTCACAAGAAACTGGGATAGTTCTTGTAGGATCAGGTTAGCCCCTGCGAGTGGGTTCCTATAAAACATCTGCTCCCCACTCCAGTCCCTCCTCTTTACATGTGACTACTTCCCTCATACTTTTTGTCATGGGTTGCAGCTGAATGAAGCCCTCATCAAAAGCCCAGAAGATAATGGCACCATGTTCTTGGACTTCCTCAACCATAAGCCAAAAAAAAAAAATCTTTTTTTTTTTTTGGTACTGGGGATGGAATTCAAGACCTTATGCTTGCAAAGCAGGGCACGGTACCACTGAACTACATCCCCAGCCCTATCCTTTCTTTATAAATAACACAGTTTCAAGAATTTTGTCACAGCAATAGAAACATACTAAACAAAAAGCAGTACTCATGCTGGGCTGCCAGCAACCAGGTAGCAACACTTCCTTCAAGCCACAGATCTCCCAGAGCCATGCAGCCTATGGCAGCTTCAGCCATCCTCTCCAACGTGAGACTCAAGACCGGACAGGTTGCTTCCCGTAGGGTTACCCAAGTAGGTGATCTTTGTTATATGAACCTGTCTCACCATGTGCGACAGGAATTTCCTTGTACAAGATCGGTGCTCAAGACAAACTGGCTGGATTCAATCTACCTGAGTGAAGCACAGCTCAGATCTAAACTGTCCTTCTCCTGACCTAGAGCTCACTTTCAGACAAGATACTCTTCTCACATCCATCTGTTCACAGATAGGCTCCACTATGGGAACCCATGCTCTGAACACCCACCACACACCCAGCACTGAGCCAGGTCTTCGGAAAGTCTCCAGAGAGGGAAGTGTAACCCTCATGTGAAGCTGCTTGCTGCTTCAGTGAGGCAGAGCCAAAACTGTGAACACGGGCATGACAATTCAATGGGAAGTGGGATGTTCCCAGAGTCCATCACTGCTGGGGACAAAGTACAGCAGGAATCGAGAGAGGGCAATTGGTACAGATGAGAGTCTATACGCAGATCTAAGGCCTCTCCAACCCAAGGTTTCAGTCGGGGGATCCAAGGTGGGTCAAGACCACATGTTAACCAGGAACACTGTCTTAGAGTGACCAGGAACATACCATGGTGTCCAGAGGAACAGTGGTGACCACATCTAGCACAGCCCACATATCTCTGATGACTATGAAATTGCAAAGCCAAAGTCTATTTGTATAACTTCGTGCACTGATTTATCTGTCTGTCTGTCTCTATCTATCCATCAATCTATGCCTCTGTCTTTTCTCAAAAGAGCAAGTCAGGGTGATAACTAATAAGTAATATTTTTAAATAGATGGCTCTATTCCAGAGGATGTGGCTGGAGTCTCTGGCCAGAACAGAGACACGTGAGTCCCCAGCTCCTGGTCCTAAGCTTTGGCACTCAGTAAATATGGGCAAGGCCTGGAAAGGGAAGGAGGCTAAAATTGTGAGTGCTCTGCATTCAGAGATTTAGTGTGTGGGGCACCAGGACAGAGTATGTGATGGCGAGAGATTGTTAAGCAGGGATCCTAGGCCAGGGGATCAAGGTCTGTGTAGTGGATCTGGAAGCTTTCCTGATAAGGAAAATGCACAAGGCACTTTGCTGATGCCACCCTCTCATTTGTTGAGTTTTCCAGAAAAGAGGAGACCATATCTTTCCCCTGTGAACAAGCCAGTGAATTCTCTCCCCACTTCATACCCCCCAAGTGACTACAATGTTCAAAGAAAAAGAAGTTTTATTGAAGGAGGAGGATGAGGAGGACAAGGAGGAGGAGGAGGAGGAGGAGGAGGAAGAGGAAGAGGGAGAAGGAGAAGGAAGAAGAGGAAGAGGATGAGGAAGAGGAAGAAGAAGGAGGAGCAGAAGAAGAAAGAAGGAGGAGGAGGAGGAGGAAGAGGAAGAGGAAGAAGAAGAAGAAGCAGAAGAAGAAGAAGACGAAGAAGAAGAAGAAGCAGAAGAAGAAGAAGACGAAGAAGAAGAAGAAGCAGAAGAAGAAGAAGACGAAGAAGAAGAAGAAGCAGAAGAAGAAGAAGACGAAGAAGAAGAAGAAGCAGAAGAAGAAGAAGACGAAGAAGAAGAAGAAGCAGAAGAAGAAGAAGACGAAGAAGAAGAAGAAGCAGAAGAAGAAGAAGACGAAGAAGAAGAAGAAGCAGAAGAAGAAGAAGACGAAGAAGAAGAAGAAGAAGAAGAAGAAGAAGAAGAAGAAGAAGAAGAAGAAGAAGAAGAAATCCAGCCATTCCTGCTAGGCGCGCATTCATAACTGGGTGGATTTAGGTCTTGGACAGGTGCCCCTAGGCATCATGGATTGATTCCAAGAGGGCACAGTTAGAAGGGGGCCAGTGGGACTTCATCCTGACAGGCTTCCCCCAGGGAGTACCTGGGAGACAATGTGAGGGAGCCACACAGAGCTGCCCTGGCCTGGGACTCTTGGGGAATCTGTCATGAAGACCAGGTGCGGGATGTCTTTGAAATGTGTGAAGCTGTCCCCTAAAGAGTTCAGATTCTATTGCTGTCAGTATTTTAGGGTTTTTATTCTTCCTCTATTTACCTGCAACATCCACTCTCAAGACTACCCCTGCAGGGAACTCCACATAGGTGGCAGGGATGCTCAGTGTGCAGGAAGGGGAGCGCCCTACCGGTGTCAGCTGTCCCTGACACCAGGGAGGACTCCACTTCAGAGGAGTTGGAAGGACACTAAGGGGACTCTAAGAAGGGGTTCTCTGGCAGTTGCAGGAGGCAGTCAGGGATTTGTCCCTCCTTTCTCCCCTGCCAGAGAGCCATGGGAGCCCCAAGGCAAAGGCAAATGCAGCTCTTCCTTTAACCTTTAGGTTGGGCATAGCGTAATGTCTAACTAGAGGCTGGAATAATAAAGCCTTAGTCGCTGAGACGGGAAGGGATGAGGTCATCAGACCCAGAGGCCCTGCCAGCGAAGGCCCGCTCCCTCCAACACATGTTCCCTGGGCTCTGGCATTCAGTCTTCAGCAATTCCATTGATAGAGCTCCCCCCATACCCACCTTCCTTGGGGTTATTTTGCAACAAGACGCACTTCTTCCTAACTAGAACCCCTAGGAGTTTCCTTCCATGCCAAAGAGTGATCATCACCTGGCCCCTGCTCCCTTTCCCTCCCTGGACTCTGACTGGCCCTTTCTGCCTGCCTCCCTTCTCAGAACCACAGCCTCGCTCTCTTCCTGCCCATCAGGACCTCACAGCGCAGAACAGCCTGGATATGCCACTGCTGGCCTGCACACCCAGCCCTGCTGGGCCACTAACCAGACTGCAGGTGAGATGTGCAGGCCCACTTCCTCAGTCTCTAAGCCACACCCACAGCCTGTCTCATCAGGCTGGAGAGTCCTGCCTCCTTATCCTTTCTTCCCAGCTAGTGCAGGGATTACTTGAGCACTAGGTCAAATTCCAAATGCCTTTCTACCAAGAACTTCTCACCTTTAGGTACCTGGGTGATGATCATTACCCATCTGAGAAAACAACACAGCTATAGGACCTGCCTCTAGAAAAACACACAGGAGTCTGCAGATTTTAGGGTATTAATGGACAACCTACTGCCCACCCAAAGTCCACAGGCTCAGATAAAGAACCTTCCATCAAGAGCGATGTAACTCTCAGCCACAGTTCCAGAATATTTAAGCATGATGCTTCTGAAAGATTGGGGAGTAAGACAGAAGACAGTTGCTGGGAAGGACTTGGGATAGTTGCCATATTTTTAATAAAACAGAATTTATTTTTTTAAAAAACTACTGAAGGTATCTGATTTAAAATTCAGCAGATCAAGTTTCCAGCTTGGCAATAGCCTTCAGTCACAAACAAATTGACAGCCTTGGTTTACATAAGCTCCTGCTAAGATTGAGCTCTATCAGGAGTCCTGGAATAGCCAAGCAATGAGTGAACACGTGTGTACACAATAAGTGTACAAGATCTTGCTAAGGCCATGATTCTCAGTCTTGATAATGTATTGGACAAACTTCTCTAACACACATTCTTCTCTACAGGAAACACAAAAACCATAAGGCTCCTCGCATTTGGGCTAATAGTAAAGTCTCTTTCTCCAAACAGGCAGCTTGATGGTCACTAACTTTTTTCTCATTATTTTCTGACAGTTTTTTCTTCTCTCAGCCCAGCTAGTGAGCCATAATATCCGAAGGTAGTTGGAGAGCACATAATCCCTAATGGATAGGATCTATAGCCCTTTCCAGCTTGAAGAAGTTATCAAAGACAGAGATCTCCCCTCCCTCAACACCCCATAAAGCTTTCTGGGATTTATGTCTCTCAGGGGCCTTTGTTAACTGAGAAAATTCTGAGATTCTTCTTTGGGGAGTGCTGGATATGGGAGGTCTCTTCCAGATTTTGAAGGAGTTTCTTAAGCCATCTTTGTAGAGTTCTTTCCATCACTGACTGCTGTCCACTTACACCTTGACCTCAAAGCCATACCCCATTAACCCCTTTAGCTTTTTCAACCTGTTGGACATGGGCTTTTAAAACACCTGCAGCTCACAGTTGCTACTACTGGCTGACACTGGCATCAGACTCCAGACCGCACTCTCGCATCTGCACATTGACACACCCACTGAGGGTCTGGAACTATTCGTCAGGCTAGGGCTGGGACCCCAAATGAGAGGGTGCTCACCATAACTGCATTTTCTAGTCTATACTGTGACCCTTCCATAGGGCCCACTAGGTAGGTCAAACGCCAGAAACAGTGTAGAAGAATATACTCCAATGACACCAAATTCCAGATTATGGAAGACTGCTATTTGGTGCAACACTGGTGTCTGCCCTGCCTCTGATCTGTTTTAAT